GTGGGACAGGGGACGGGGGTGAGGCTGGGAAACAGGTGACGATGCAGGGCTGTGGGGAAGGTGTGCGCACCCCGGCTGAGGACCCGAGGAGCACCCAGCAGCAGTGAGGCTGGCCAGACGCACTGCCAGCCCCCCAGCCAACAGTTCATCAGGGCCCACCAGGCTGGCGTCTCCTAGCCAACTCCTTCCACCTGAAAATTTGTGATGAACTGTTTGCTGGTTTTTGGCACAGGGATGAGGGACGCTGGAGGAGTCAGCCAACTTGGACTTCAGCTTAGACCCAGCACTAGGGGTTGAACCACTGAGCTCCACCCCAGCCCTTCCTAAGACAAGGTTGCTAAGTTACCACGCCCGACCTCGAACTTTTGATCCTCCCGCCTCAGCCTCCCAAGCTGCTGGAGCCACCGGTATACATGGGCCTGCACCAGGCATCAGAATTGAAATCTCACACATCCATCCAGAGTGGTGCTCAGAGACAGCTGGGACCCAGACGAAGCACATCAGAATCTACTTGTTAAAAACATATTTCCCAGTTTCTGTGGCCTTCATGTTTTATCATCTTAAGGTCTTAAATGATTTAATTTGTGTGTGGCTGATCTATTGTTTCCTTTGTGATTTACTCCACACTCTGGGGTTTCAAGTCTTTCCCCCAGCTATCTTAATGCCACGGCACCATTTTTTTCCCAACAATTTGTTTATTTTAATAATTGTTGATTTATCACTAATATATTAATTTTAATTATTTTTGCCAGGAATGAGAAAATCAACTGAAAATTTCGAAAATCAGATCTGAAGCCTGGTGTGGTGGTGCACACCTATAATCCTAGCAGCACCTCAGAAGGCTGGGGGCAAGAGGATTGCAAACTTGAGGCCAGACTCAGCCTCAGCAACTCAGTGAGGCCCTAAGCAATTTAGCAGGACCCCGACTCAAAAAATAAGAAGGGCTGGGGATGTGGTTCAGTGGTAAAGTGCCCCTGGGTTAAATCTCCGGTACCTCAAAAAACAAAATAAAAACTCAATGTAATAAAGATGACTCACAACTTCCACCTACAACTTGTAGTAACGTTTCTGGTGTTTAAAATTGTTCACACAGATCCTTAAAAGGGTCTGTCCAAACCACCTGAGTGAAGCAGACTGGCTTCTGCCCATCTTTTTTTTTTTTTTGCTGGGGGTCAGGGCATCGGGGATTGAACCCAGGGACACTCAACCACTGAGCCACACTCCCAGCCCTATTTTGTATTTTATTTAGAAACTGAGTCTCACTGAGTGGCTTAGGGCCTCGAGTTTGCTGAGGCTGGCTTTGAACTCTGATCCTCCTGCCTCAGTCCCCTAAGCTGCTGGGATGACGGGTGTGCGCCACTGCTCCTGTCCTGGCTCACTCAGGTTCCTAAGAGGTCTAACAGGCACCACCTTCAGTGCCCATCTTGTTGCTGAGCAGACAAGCCAACTGACGTCATTGAAGGCCACATGGTTTCAAGGGTGAGCTATGACAACTGTTTAAACACAAATTTAACTTTTTCTTCGTGACATCAGTGACATAGCTCATGGTGGGCCACTTCAAATACCCAGAAGCAGTTGGTGGTGGACACCCAGCACCCAGAAATAATATACTTTAACTCAGAGAGACAGATTTCTACAACAAAAGCTGGAAGCCACTTCATTTAACAATGTCTTCTTTTCATTATTTCCTATGTGATAATCTTTTAAGTGACTGTAAATAACCACCCAACATTACAGCGCATGAACCTAACACATAACATAAACACATTCCTTCTGCTCTTCATCTTGCAATTCCTAAGCATATGGCCCAGTGGTTCCAGGGAGACAGAATTCCCACAGGTGAAAGTCTTGGGTCAAAGGGTAGAAGAGGGGCTGGGGTGGTGGCTCAGTGCTCTCCTAGCATGTGCGAGGCCCTGGGCTCCAGCCTTAGCACCATATAAAGATAAATAAATAAAGGTATTGTGTCCATCTACAACTAAAAAATATTAAAAAAAAAAAAAAAAAGGTAAGAACACCTCAGACTTTGGGTACGCAGTGTGGACTCCCTCCAGGAGGGTGCGGCCACCCTGCGCACAACCCCCTGGCAGTGGGGTGAAGCCCACCGCCCTGGCATTCTCTGGAGGGCAGGTGCTGCAGTTTGGAACAAAGAGCACGGTCCAGCCTGGGCACCAAGTATCTCCTTCAAAAGGAAGGGACATGACTCATGTCCACAACCCAGTGATAGTTTCAGGACATTTTAATGTGGCCACATAAAGTGAAAGGGTCATTTAGAGTCAACAGATTCTTAAGACCCAACAAAAAGTTTTTCTGGACGTAGGACACACATCAAGGGAAGTAACCTTTAAAAAATGGAAGTTCTCCCCAGACAAGGTCTGGCTGGCTGTCTGGGGACAACATGATAGCCTTTTAGGTCTTCTGGCAAAGAATCAAGGCGGCCAAGCCAGAAAACAAGTCAGTTATAAACAGACCACCATGCGCCTGCCCCCTGACCGTGGGTCTGCAGACAGCATCTGCCAACTTCTGCTCCCTGCAGCCCCGGGCTGACCAACACCCGGGCTGCCGTCCTGATCACAGACAAGACATCTTTAGGATAAGGCACCTGAGGCGGCGGCTTTGTGAGGACTGTCTGTCACATTTATAGTAGCTGCAGCCTCGCCAGGGATCAGCTCATCGTGGTGACCACGGAGGGTGCACACCACAGGCTGGCTGTGTGGCCAGATAGGGGCACTGCTCTCATCTGACCATACGGAATCCTCCTCCTTATTCCAAGATAGGAAAGGGGCCACACTGGAGACAGGGTGCTGCGGGAATCTGGAGAAGCCACCCACTCTTGAAGGGCCCTCTTGAGCTCAGCTGCTCCCCCACCCCCAGGACTCACCTCAGAGAGTGGAGAGTCACCAGGCTGGTCCCAAGAGCCAGAGAAACTGTGCTGGGCAGAGAGGCACAGGCTGCCTCAGAGACGGCTGAGGTGCGAAAGAAACACGGGACACCAATTTGTAATCAATGACTTTTATCTTTGAAAATGGAAGCAAGTGTTTTGACAGAACACTATGGTGCTCTATAAGAGCCGATCTAGGAGTAATTCACTGTCCTCCTCTGGGATGTCATGGCATTTTTTAAAAAAAGAAGAAGACGACAAAACAGGGAAAATAATCCACAATGCTTCAGGCACTCCTTGGGCCTGGATGGGCATCCATTCATTAAATAAGCAGAAGCTACAAACTAAGGTCAGGGTGACGGTCCCTTGCCCTCCCTCTTCTCTTCGAATCACCTTTCCTATAGGGTTCCACCAACCACAAAAATTCTTTATTTAATTTGATATCAGAACCTTAAAACATTTCTGAATCTTAGAAATGAAGGTCCTTTAGCAGATTACATTGATAAAAAAAAAAAACCAATGTAAGTTTGACTTATGTCCTTGTGATGACTGTTTTCTTTACATCTCGTTATCCACTTCTATATTAAAAATACATACGTACATACACACAAAACTCAACATTCAGATGCCCTGAAATTGTGGAGACAGCAACCCCAATATTGTTGGTTAAGAACATGGTACCTTTTCTGCTGGGACAGTACCAAGTGGGGCCAGGCCTTCCAACTGGCTGCCACCATACTCTGCCTCATCCTGGCTCCCTGGCCACACGGCTTCCAGTCAGCCCCGTACCCACCCCAGTGCACGCACACGAGAGGGAGGTCTCCTCATGGCCCCCGTGCACTCCATGGCTCATTCAGGCACACTCAGCCCTTCCAGAACAGAGGCTCGTCAAGTCTGGTTTTGCAAACATGCAATTGAGATCATGGAAGTGCAGCAAAGTTCCAGCTAGCCTAAGAAGGAACAGGTGACTAGCACTGGTCTCTGACTCACTCCGGGTCCAGGAAGCCTCTGCAGCCCAACACAGCTGTGAGCTGGAGAACTGGTTTGTGTGCGGGGGCGAAGAGGCATGTCCATGCATGTGAAAGCTACGGCCTGGCCTGCACTCCCTCTTCTGCCTCGTTCTAGGCCATTCTCCTGTCTCAACACTCAACAGCATCTTTTGGCCTCATTTTGCTGAATGTGATTAGGGCTAAGGGCAGGAAGATGGGCAGGACTGCTGGGCCCCGAGGGACATGCAGCAGACAGAGGAGGGAGGGCAGGAGTTCTGTGGGTGTAAGGAGAGCTGCTCCTTCTCTAACACTGCTCAGGACAGTAGCAGGCCACCAGGGCTGCTCGCCTCCAAGCTCCCTGCCCAGCACGTCGCAAGAGCCAGGTAAGCTGCTGAGACAGGCAAGAGGGGACACTCAACAACATGCGCACGCTCTGGTCCGAGTGCCCCTGTCAAGTATGGACCGCAGCCTGAGCAGTGAGGTGTGGAGTGATGAATGTGACAGAGCCTATGTGTGACAAACTGCAGGGACACGTGCTAGTTTGGTTAGATTATAATCATCTGAAGCACAGAATCAAGAAGCAAAATTCCATTCTGGTACAACCACCCAATTTCTAGAAAAGAGAAAGGAAAGAAAGGAAGAGATACGATGTACACTTTTTTGGATCAGAAGACTCAACGGAATGAGAGGGTAGTGAGAAGGTCCACATGATTCTTCAAGTCTTCCTTCCGCAGTCATTAAGATGACCAGGCTTGTGCTGCCAGTGGCTACTGCTCTGATTGTTCTCAGATGAATGTTTATACAAAATAATATCTTCATCTAGTTTATAAACATACACAGTGCTGTCCCTTTCAAATTAAGGAAAAAAAATCACACACAAATACTGCAAAGTAGCAAAATATAAAGAAAAAAAGCTACTTTTGGTTTTGGCAACATTAAAAAAAGAAAGAAATATAAAAAGCAATGTGGCATTGGTCCCTATTCATTTAAAAAAAAAAGTACTTGGGCATGACACTGAATTGGAATTGGTTTGTTTTCTAAAATTCAGAATATCTGGGATTTTAAAAGTAGCACTTTTGTCTTTAAGAGTTCAACAAGTCACATAACACTTAAAACATCAAAAAAGCTTTCTGATAAAAAGCTCAGCTTTTTTTTTTTCTTTTTTCCTTTTCTCCTTTTTTTTTTTTTTTGCAAATTTGGGAGTCGCTCGAGTTCTTACTGGAATGTGGCCTATCGCTGCTGGTTGACAACTCTGAAATGGAATGTCTCCCAATGGCAGTGCCTCCCCCTCCACCCTCCCTCGGACCACACCAACAACCAGCTACCAAAGCCCAAGTTCTCACTCCCAGGTTCCGGAGGGTGGGAGGGACCTTCAGGCGGCTATCTTCGCCATCTGCTGTTCTAACTTGGAAATACGCTCATCTTGATTGCAGATTGTGTCTTTTATAGATTTGATCTCTTTTAAAATTTCATCCAACTTGGCTTCGTTTTGCTGAGAAAATAAAAAAGGGGGCAGTGATTAGAAAGCAGTAAACAAACTTCAACACGATTCGGACTATAGGACTTAAAATGTAATTTTCTATTTGGCAAATGGCAAACCAAAGTCACCAAATTGGAAAAAGAAGTCACAACCTGCCACATGTGGGCCTTATGAGAACATAACTGCCGCTGTTCGGTCCCTCTGAGACCCCAAAGCACTGCCTGTGCACTTACTCAAAGACTCTGTCAGGTCACACACTGTAGGATAGGACTGCAAGGCTGCCCAAATCCCAACCTCCCCACTGGGCTAGGGGTGATTCCTACCAAAAGGCTGCTGAGCCTCTCCACCCGCTAGGCAGGTCCTGGGAGTGGAATTCCTGGGCCTCTGTTAGCTTTTCTAAAGAGGACTGAGCCTCCCCCACTCAGAGCTGATCCAGAAACTCTACAGCCACCAAAGGCTGGGTACTAGCTCCTTGTCAAGGACCAAAATGTCAGCTCCTCCAAGGCACTGTACCTCCTAGTTCCTCCACCTTCTCAGTAACCAAAATCCCCCCACCCCCACCCCCTGGCCCCCAGCCCACGCACTCCCTGGATCTTCTCCTCCCAGGACCTGATTCCCGGCAGTGTCAGTATTCTGTGGCCACAGCAGGTCTTCAATGGCAGGCTGGGTGCCCACCTCTGCCACGGCTTTGCCAAGGTCGTCTTGTGGTAGCCCACACACTGCCAGATCCTGCCTTCACCACGCCCCTCGACAGCACCCCAACACTGCCACCACTGCCTGCTTCCAGGAACCTTCTCTTCCTGGCTCCTGGGACCCTGCCCTCCCATGTCGTTTCATTTCTACCCAAATCAGAGGAGGGTTTGGGCAAAGAGAAAAACTCACAAACGTCCTATTCACTCTCAGAGATGGTGGTAGACTGATATCTATTCCAGGCATTGTTTATGATAATATAATAAAAATATAATAACCAAATAATTAATAATATAATAACCAGAGCTAAAGGAGCCAAGGGTGACCATAACTCATCAAGTCACGGGCCCCAGGACTTTCTTAGGCCCAGTGCATGTTATGAGTCACCGAAAGCTCCTGGGTGTCCACAGCCGTAACACTATTCAGCAATGCCCTGCATAACAGAGGACTTTGCAGGGGACAAGGCACGCGCAGATCAAGCACAGCCTCAAGTTGCTGTGCTCCTCACCACACTAGTCGTGTCTGTGGTTTTCTTGGGGACGTTGATCAGGTCACACTTCTTGTTTGCAGTGGGCTTGCTGTCCAGAATGTTCTTCTTGACCACTTTGAGATCCCTGTTTTTGCCTGGAATGTAGCCGTGCTTCAAGGAGATGAGGATTGGGTCAGCGTTCTTCCCTTCAAACCACTCTTCTGCCTCCAGCGCAGCCTCGGGGCCTGCCGTGTCTGGGTACAGGTCATCTTGGAAAAGGTCAGACTGCAAAACACATTTGGGGGAACGCTTCAGTAAGGAAGGAACCAGTTCTGGGTCTGGGATTTAAAACAAACAAACATGGACTGCCTAGAAAGCTGGGCACTCACCTTCCTGGGAACAGTCATGATAATGGGCTCACACTTTCTCTCATGCAGCTTGAAGAATCTTCAAAGGAAAAATAAAGACGAAGTTCCATAAAGTGAAATATGACTGAATAACAGGATCAAGAACTGTTAACTACAATGCTGGGGGATATGGGAGATGAATGCTTCTTTACCCCTCACCTCTGATCCACCCTGGCAGTAGGTACTTAAGCGGTCCCACTTTCCCACTTCACAGATGAGCTCGGCGTATCTCTGCCAGAAAATGGCAGACTGGAGACAAGGACCATGAGTAGAGATCTGTGGATTACTGTGACAGTCAAACTGCAAATACCTGGGGCAGAAGGACTGTGGTGGAAATAGTAGCAACACTGGGACTGATTCACTTGTGAAAAAGTTACCATGTAGCAGACAGGTGGGGACCCCCCTAATGTGAAGCTGTTGCTACACCCTGTGTGCCAGGTCTTCTGCCAGCTTGAGCAGTTGAACATTTGAAGTATAAATATGACTTTTAAAAAGAAAAAAGAAGCAATCCTAGGAAGTAGATTTTGATTTGGGGTAGATTTTGTCTTTTTGGGTTTTTTTGGTGGAGGGCAACAGGTACTTGCAATCCTCCTGACTTGGCTCCTGAGTTGCTGGAATTTCAGCTGTGCACCACAACACCTAATGAAATTTAGGTATTCAAGCAAACCCCACATCAAGGAAAATTTGAAATTATCCAAAACGTGGAAAGCAAATTATATTATCCTATGGAGGAGCAAAAAATATCCTCTAATTGAAGGGGAAAAGGGATAGAATTTTCTTTTGCATCTCACAATAAACAAAACCAAAAATTATAATAAAAGTGATTAGAGAAGCCAATTTCTTCCCAGCCAGGAAGGGAAATAACCGAGAGTTCTCACCAAAGTTCTTGGCAAGAGAGGGAGCCACAGTGAACTCCGGCAGAGGGGCACATGCTGGGCAGCACTCAGATGAAACAAGAGCCGAGTGTGGCTTTGCCAGTCAAGGTGTTCCCCAAACCACATTTTAAAAACCTGCCGTGTCAAACTTGCCTATTCACTATTTCAATAGGGTTACAGATAAACCAAAAGCCGTTTTAAAGAAAGATTTAGTGAAAACTACGCCGCCGCCGCCGCCGCCGCAGCAGCAGCAGCAGCAGCAGCGCAGTGAAGGAAGCCTGCGGCCCTGACTTCCAGCTGGGCCAGGGCGACGCAGCCTCTCCAGGAGCGCGGCCACCCCAGCCCTGGCTCCTCCTCCATAAAATGGGCATAAAAACACCCTCTTCCTGGGTTGTGGGGAGAAGCAGAAGAGGTCACCCACGTGTGTTTAGTTCAGGGTCTGACACGTAATCAAGGCTCAGCACAGATAGACAGGAGGGTCCCGAACAGCTGTGCTCAAAGTTTTTCTTGAATGTTTAGATGATGGTAAAATAAATGTGCTCCTAAATAATTGGGTGTAATCTTAAGTTCAGATTCAATCCTTTTAAACCACACTTGGGTTAGTCTGGTCAAACTGCAATTCTGGATTATCTGGGACAGCTATCTTTCATTGTCCCAGCTATTTAAAAAAATAATGATTAATATAAATTAAGGGCTGGAGCTATAATTCAGTTTATATTCATATAAAGTTTATAAAAATTCTTTTTCTATTATTTTTTTAAATATTTATTTTTCAGTTGTAGTTGGACACAATATCTTCATTTTATTTATTTATGTTTATGTGGTGCTAAGGATCAAAATCAGGGCCTCAAATGTGCTAGGCAAGTGATCTATCGCTGAGCCCCATCCCCAGCCCTCCTATTATTTTTAAAGATTTAAGTATCAATTCTTAATCATGTGGCCAGAGGAGCAAACATTTTTGGTTGCTGCTATTTTGTTTGTTTTGGGTGCTGGGGTTTGAACCCATACAAACTTGTCTGTATAAACTTCATGTTACACTAACGCATGATATGATTGATAGTGTGATGCTATTCTGTTGTTTAAAGTGGTCACTGGCCACTGGGTGTCTGTTGAGTATCTCCTGTTGACTACTGTGAGAAAAAATGTGCCCGTAGGAGGCCCACTAGTGTTATAGGATATAAACTTCAAATTCAAGACAAGTGTAGATAAGTAAAAGTCATACAACACAGCTGAACTTCCTAAATCAAACTAGCCTCACAAATCATCGCAGAACCCTGCATTCTCTAGTTTAGGACCAGAAGGATCCACAACCCAGGATGGAGCTCAGTCCTATCCCCCTGAGAGCAGAGAGCCACCCCTTTTCCATTCCAGGGCCAGGTTCTCACCTGCCCACCACCCAGGGGACCATGGCCACAGCCTCAGCTTGGAGTCAGAGAGGAAGGTGTCACTATTTCACTAAGTGTATGCTACACGGACTGCTAAGCTCCCAGTTGTATGAGCAGGACATAAGACACGGCTCCACCCACATGCAGGGGCAGGGAGCCTCGGGCACACAGAAGGCCGTGGAACTGTGTGGCTCTGATGCTACACCAACAGCACGAACAACTGCAATACTTTACGATATCAATTTGTTACCTGGCAATTTCACATTTGTTAACGTCGAGTCCTCTCTTGGGCATGTAACCCATGCCTCTCTGAGGCTCCTTGCTGCTGAATGTGTTGAGGTAGTGGACATATGGGGATTCATCCGTGATCTCAAAGTAGCGAATACTGCTGTCTCCCTACAAAAAATCAGAGATGAGTTTGTCTTTAACAGTATCTGAAACAGCGGGTGTGGGAGGGTGTCTCTCTCCTATGCGACCCAGCACTCATGGGGACTGGGCCTCAGAGGCTGACCTTTTTTCACTTTCATAAAGAGGCTGACCTGAAGTATGTAAGGTTCTTTTCCTCAGAGATTGAGCCCTCATTACCGACAGATCACTACCATGCCCTTTAAAAGACCTCCTCCATATTTCTGCCCAACTGCCTTGCAGTTCAACATCAAAAGTCAAACAAAAGAGTGAATTGCTGAGCATGTAGTCACTGATTATAGGATCTGCTCCCTGATCCCGCATAGCACTGTTCACAGATCTGTCAGCTCAACATCAGACAATCCGACAACAGCAAAAAGTGAGATTTTTCTAATTAAGAAACATCAGTTTTCATGAGCATTCGTTCTTTTTTTTTTTTTTTTTATAATTTTTAGTTGTAGATGAACAGCATGCCTTTATTTTATGTGTTTATTTTTCTGTGGTACTGAGGATTGAACCCAGTGCCTCACATGTGCTAGGCAAGGGCTCCCCCACTGAGCTACAGCCCCAGCCCTTCATGAGTATTCTTAAGCTTCAAAAAGTAGAACTATCTCATTGTAATGTGTAAAATTCTACAGTTATCATATTTAGAACAGTCATATTTTTGGGAGATCTGAAGTCTGAGGCATATGCTAATCTAAGCATAAATAACAGTTACACCCTTACATGAACCTAAACAATGAAGGCGGCCCTATCTGTGTGTGGGGGGGGAGACACACACACACACACACACACACACGTGCACACAAGAAGACAAAAAGAGCTAGGCAGTATGATGCCCTAACAAGAATCTTGGTTCTCATAGTTTCCATCTGTTTCATTTTCTGCATATCGTAAATGATATTCCATCTCACACCAATACTACCTGCAAAGTGCTCATTTGGTTTGTTTTGATGCAGCAAGGGTGAGGCCTATGTACTTAACAGCTGTTAACATCTGCAGTAAAGTGACTTTCAAGGAAACAGACAAGATCTCAGATTCTAGGTAACTGACCTAAAAAGAAATGCAAAGTAGCTCAGAAGCACCCTCTGTCAACTGTGGAAAGGAAACCATCACCCACAAAGGTGGCTTTCTAACAGGTTTGGGAAATACAACAAAAGCACCTTTTTTTATTAAGTATTTTATTTGCAACTAAGCTTGTTAACACTATATAATGACAATGTACAAATAATAATGTTGCAGTTTTTGGTTAGATTTAAATCAAAGACATTAATTAATAAGGAATCTTCAAGTGTGAATATTCCAGAAATTTCTCTAAGCCAAAACAACTGTCTCTGAATATTACCTTAAGTGTGGAAGGTATTGGCATACATTTGAATTAAGCTCAATTTTTTTTTTCAAAATAAGCCATAATTTTAAAAACTATTCTATATTCAAACTAAAACAATTTTAATAGAACTTTCCTTTCCAGAAACAATAATAAAGGAAACAAGGCATTTTGTAAAATGTGGTCCTGAACAAGTCACAGTAAAAAATCAAATGTATACTTAACTCCACCTTCCTCAAAACAGAGGCTACTCTCTGCTCTGCAGTCTTGGAAATAAGATGAAGAACAGCCTGTAAACAACTTCGGGTAGGAGGTTGCCCATTTGTACAAAGCTCAAGCAATTGAACATGGACACCTCAGTGAGGGAACCTGATCAAGGAATCTGAATTGTGTTTTTGATAACTGATACAAAGGTGAAGTGGGTCTGGAATACATCAAGAGCAGCATTCTTTTTTTTTTTTAATTTGTATTTATTTTTTTAGTCATACACGACAGTACAATGCATTTTGATATATAATACATACATGGAATGTACATACATCAATCATATTGTCTATTCTATTCTGCTGCCCTTCCTATCCTCCCTACTCCTCCCCTCCTCTTCCATCCTTTCTCTCTATCCAATCAAGAGCAGCATTCTTACTATTATTTCAACTACAAAAAGTTCTAAGGAATTCAGCCTATACAAGAATAAGGAACTGTGAATTTATCATTTACAAAAGTGAAATAACGACAGCAGTAAAGCTATCAACAGTTTAGTGACACTGAGGTCGTAAGACAGGAAGAGGTGCTCTGACTTCAGGGTGGCATCTTCCTGTACCTAACAGTTGTCACCTTCTGAAACCTTTTTGTTGTCAGTGGAAATCTTCAAGCCTAGGGTTCTAACGCTGAACCCCAGGAACCAGAACCACCCAGAGAGCCCTGGAGAGTCTTGGAGGCTGTCAGAGCTCACTGCACACAGCACTGTTCTCTTCACAAGCCCATGGCAGGTGGCACTGAGAACATACACGCTGATCTAGGGTTATGTGATAGTTTTCAGCATTAAATGTGACATACCAGCCCCATAACTAATAACAACGCAGACAGATCCAAAATCACCCGTTGTGCAGAAGTAGTCAGTGAAAACAGAACACCAGTGTGTCCTCTTTTATGTCTTGTGCTGCTTATGTCTTGTGCTGCTTGGGATAGAACCCAGGGCTTTGCACACTCTAGGTGACCAGTGAACTACACCTGTCCAGGCACATCATCTCTTTTTCACTGGAGGCCTGTAGTGAAGATTCCCCAACAGCAGCCATCCCAAAACTCTAGCCCAAACCCTGTGTTAGTCAAAAGCACTGAACAGAGTATGTTATCACTACACAATTCACAAGTGACAAACAGTGGTCTAGAGACCTTATCTCAGCTTAAGACACACAAAGTAGACAACTCAGAAACCTTAAATGATGGGGCTGGGAATTCATTGGGTGTAAAGTGCTTGCCTAGCACACGTGAGGCCCTGTGTTTGATCCTTAGCACTTAAAAAAAACAAAGGGTGGGGGGTACGGAATATACTTTTCAATTTAATATTGAAATCAGTTTACCTTTCCACATAAGTAAATGATACTGGTGTCAGGATCATAGAAAGGCAGCAAAACTCCATTGCTAGTGTCCATTTCATGAAGAGCAATTGGTTCCTGCATGTTTTTCTGAAAATAAAACATATGTATATGTCTCTACATTTTTACAAGACAAATTTTATAGCTTATTAGACATTCTTCAATTAAGTGAGCCATTTTCCAAGAATAACATAAAGCTTGAACAATGCACATATAAATTTCATTCACATAAACACCAGGAGGGATCAAACCTCACTGAAAATTATATGAATTTGACAACATAAATGTGTGACTCCATGACAAAGATTGACAGCCCTTTTCTTCTGAGCCCATTTCTTTTTTTAAAAGTACTTTTTCCTTATTATAAAATAAATACGTATACAAACGTTCAAAAAGTTAGAAGACATAGAGAACATTGTAACTGTCTCTAGTTCAGGGTTTCTTCCCACTTCCACTAGTTATGAATGCTTTCCCAAGAATGACTATTTTGATGATATAAATAAGTGTAGAATTGATTTCCTAAATCTAAAACATTGGATTCTTTGCACATTCTTTTTTAAAAATCTAGTCAGCATAAGGCTCCCTGGGAGTAACAAGAACGCATTTTTGAAATATATTCACTGCCTATCTCCAGTGAGGACAGGGACTTGACATCCAACTGACAACAAGCAGGAGTTCAGAACACCACACTAAGAATCCTATATTCATACACTTAACAACCCAGAGCCCCAACAGAGAGAATGCTCTGTGAAGCATGCGGGAGGTGAGGAGGGAACCTACAGGATTCCAGAGTGCCAGCTGCCGCTCACTCATGCGACTGAACCCAGTGGTAAAGACGTTGCCGTCAGCCAGGAAGATGGCTCTCATGGGCCTGGCTCCCTCATGGGCCTTCTCCTTCTCCTGGGAGTGAGAGCAAGAGGCACATTATGCACATTCAAACTGCAAGAAGGAAAGGTGGGAAAACCACATATTGACCCTCCCTCACCCCACCTGTCACCCACACTCTCCTGATGTCGACCATGACCCCAGGTGAGGAATCAGAGCAGCACTAGTGACCAGTCAAAGTCCCCCAGCTAGCTAACAAGCAAGAGCTCCAGGATCTGACTCAAAAAACCTCACTCCTTCCACCACATCCTGCTGCCAACCCAGGTCCACACACTGCAGACACAGGACATAGAAGGACTCTGCCAATGCCTTGTTTTTCAAGACAGTTATAACTTGAAGGCTGGGTGTAGGCTCTGATTTCTACCAGCACCAGACATCAAGAAGTCGAGTCTAATTAACCCCTTTGTTTCTACTTTCTTTCTTTCTTTTTTAAAGAACCAGGGATTGAACCCAGGGGCATCTAACCACTGAGCCATATCCCCCAGACCTACTTATTTATTTATTTATTTATTTATGTTTTGAGACAGGGTCTTGCTAAGTTGCTAAGGCTGGCCTGGAACTTGGGATCCTCCTGCCTCAGCCTCTCAAGCCACTGGGATTACAGGTGTTTACCACCACAGTGCCCTCATATCCACCTGAGGAAGATTCTGGATAGATAAAGGCTGCATGGGGATGGGAAGTCCCCAGTGCTCAGTAAGCACTAGCCACAACTGTCACAGTACCCTTCAGATGTAACACTACCAACACCAAACATATCTCAGGAAGGGCCTCAGAGCATGGGTGAAATCAGATGTTCTGTATTCAATATTTGGCACTGCAAGTCTGACTAAAGATCCAAATGTCTACCTTTTGTCAATTTTGCTCCCCAAACTAGGGAGTAGAATCTAACATACTGACCTTATGAGAACCTGCTGCAGTTCTGTAAAAGGCTCTGTAACAATCATTTCTGGAACAGGGAGCAGAATCAACTAATCAACCGTCAGCACTGAGCCCCAAGACCAGGCATGTAGTCTGGTTTAGCTGAGCCAGACCTGTGAGTGCTTAAGGACACTAGTGAACCGAAAAAAACTGACTCTTCATGAAAAATGGCCACCTAGGGAGAGAGGTGAGTTGAGTAAAGGCTGCATGTGGACACGCCTGGACACGCCTCTGCTCCCTCATCACTGTGTCTGCACTCCCAGGGCCACCAGCCAGTGGTTCTTCTGCCTTAAAAGCAAGGAGCCCACAGACACTGAAGTCCACAGCCCCTGGGTTTTGCCCTCACATACTCACAGCAACAAGCTCTTGTTTCCTGGGATCGATCACTCGCACTTTCTTGTCTTTGGAAGCTGTGCAGATCAGACTGCCGTTCCGGTTCCAACTCACGTTATAGATCATGTCTGAATGCATATCGTCCAAGTTTATAAGGGCTTCCCCTGTCCCCACATTCCAGATGATGATGGCATTGTCACAGCCTGAAACAAGCAAAACCAAGCCCCTCAAAGATTAGAAACCTGTACAGGAAAGCCAGAAGAATATAAGGAAATAAATGCACGGAAAGGCAGGTAAGAATAAGGGGCTCTACTTACTGGAAATCCAAGACCAAAAGTGACAAAGAAAAAAGGAGCATACAATAGAAATAAAATCATTAAAGGATCTTGTCCCAATCTCTTTTAAAGCTGGGCATCAGCTGGGCAGGTTGGCATAAGCCTGTAATCCCAGGCATCACAAGTTTGAGGTCAGCCTCAGCAACTTAGCAAAACCCTATCTCAAAAAATTAAAAAGGGACTGGGAAGAGGCTGGGGTTGTAGCTCAGTGGTTAAGCGCTTGCCTCGCATGCGTGAGGCACTGGGTTCAGTCCTCAGCACCACATAATAAATAAATTAATTAATTAATAAATTAATTAATTAGTTAAAGCTATTGTGTCCATCTACAACTAAACAAAAATATTTTAAAGGTGGGGGGGCACTGAGGATGTAGCTCAGTGGTGAAATATCCCTGAACTCACTCTCCAGTGCTGTCGGCAAGGAAGAATACTTAGAACATCAGTTCAAAGATAAAACAGAGAAAGAACACCCTAAAGTGAATTCTTACCAATAAAGCAATTTTAAAAGTGATTTAGAAAAGCTAGTCACTAACACCTATGATACCTAAGTTACCTAATTGGTAGAAGTAGGGAATTTAAGGGAAAAAAATCTGCACAAAAGTATAAAAAGTTGGAGCTACATTCTGGGATGGAGAGCCGACACTCTCTCTGCCTTGCTTTCACAGGCAAACAGCCACTGCAGATGGATCTCATAGTCTTAAAATACGCAAAACGCTCCAGTCAAACCTTGCCCTTCACTTGTAAAAAGGAGAACCAGGAGCAGTCTGCTGATGACACCCTATTTGTGACCTCAATGAGAAGGGCAGCAGGATTTCTCTGATGGAATTCTACCTCCAGGACATTTTCCTTTTATCAGACAGAGGTTCTATGTAAATCATTGGGAAAGTTCCCAAGTACAGTCAACCAGTGCTTATTAAAAAAAACTATCCTACACAGAGTTTTTTTGTTGTGTTTTTGGTGGTGCTGGGGATTGAACGCAGGGCCTGAGCTATATCCCCAGCCCTGGTGTCTTTTATTGAAAAGTGGTTCTTGGTTTCAGAAGGTTCCTGGCATTCAATTTACTTAATTGATCAAAAATCATAAACATCCTCTGCCCCCAGTTAAAAACGAAACTGCCTCTCTCTTTTTTACTGGTAAGGGGAAAGATTTTTAAAAATTCTGCCACTAACATTAGTATTTTTTTTTTCAAGAAACCAGTATTATTAAAGTATAATTTACATATAATATAATGCACCTATTTAAGCATACTTAAGACTGTTTCAATCAGTATATATAATCATGCAGCTTCTACCACAATCAGGTTAGAACATTTCTATCCAAAAGCTCCCTAATGCCCTCTGTATTGCTTTTATGAAGATTTATCTGAGATAAAATCTCAGATTCTGAGCAAAAGGAAAAAAATTTCTGCAAATCAAACTTGGGAAACACTCAAGTGAGAAACCAGTAAGCACACTAAGACCAAGACATGGGCGCTCTGCAGTGCTGTGCAACGGTGAGAAGTCAGACCATCATTGTTCAGGAATAAGGAGCTAACTAAACAGACAGACGATGGACTGTTGCGGAGAGTCGTTAAAAATATTATAGGGAGAACATTTAATGATACAGACAGGAGTGAGGTGTACCACTAACTGCAAAAAGAGGTCACGTGTGAAGTGTACAAAGCCATCTCTGTGTGTAAACTAATTTTTAAATATATATTATGCTTACATTTTAAAAATATCTTTATTTTATTTATTTATTTGTTTATTTATTCATTCTCATGTGGTGCTGAGGATCGAATCCAGGGCCTCGCACATGCTAGGCGAGCGCTCTTCCGCTGAGCCCAGCCCCATAAACTAACTTTTGTACGTGCACCTCACCATGGTTCACTACTGCTCTGCTTCAACACTGTACGCAGCACACACTCAACACACCTGTTGCTCCCTCCACCTCAGGGCTGTGTGAAGGACGGGCCAGCGGCGGGGAAGCACTGCTGAGCACCTACCTGCACTGAGGAGCACGTTGCGGGCTGTCGGATGCCAGGCCACGATGCCGACTCTCTTCGAGTGGCCTTCTAAAATCACCACAGGTTCAGTCAGGGAGAGGGTAAGTCCGTTTTCCGGGATCTGCCATACCTGTTGGAAAAGGAAGGAAGATGATCCATATGAAATTCATCACCTGTTATTATCATGTTTACTGTGACAATCTGATTTGAAGACTTGCTGTCTAGCTGGAGCACTCGATGACATCTGGGTGAAAGGCCTTTCACATTTTGTTGTGAAATGACTGTGTACAGTTATTTAAAAAATGTAGTATGACATGTGAGATCAGAATATAAGTCCTATAAAACATTACCCCTCCTCTTTTATATAATATTAGGTGGGATTTAAAAATTTTTTTTGTTAAGTTCTAACTCTCCAGTTAGAAACGTGTAAAAAAATTTGAAATGAAATAGAAAATGGTAGAAGCATTCATAAAAGCATGGCAGGGATGAATAAAAACCTTCTACGTCTGTGCTTCTGAGGTAATGGTGCAGTTTTTAAAACATATTTTCTATTGGGAAAATGAAATAATTTATAACATATTCTACAGAAAGCAAATCTAGCCAAAGAAAAAGAAAACTGGACTTCATCAAAATTAAAAATCTGTTTCAAAAGATAAAGGAAGAAAAAAGACCACCCACAGAATAGGAGAAAATAATTTGCAAATCATACAGCTGATAAGAGGCTTGTATCTAGAGTATAATAAGAACTCTTAAAACTTAACATAAAGACAAATAGTACAATTTAAAAACGGGCAAGGACCAAAAAGCCTCAAAATGTTTAATGTTTGAGGTTTCTAAAACTAATAGAAAATACTGAATTTTGAGGCAATGTGGCACTGGACCAGCCTCCATAATGAACATCAATTATTTAAAACTGCAAATGCTGTTATTAAATACTTCTTAGGAAAAAAAATGGGCCAGGAAACCAAATAGACATTTTAAAGTATAAGGGTCCAAAGGCACGTGAAAAGATGTTTGACATTATTAGCCACAGCGCAGTGCAAATCAAAGCCTCAGATATCACTTCACATGTACCCACTAAGATGGCTAGAATAAAAAAAAGACATAACAAGTGTTGGCAAAAATGCAGAGAAACCAGAGCCTTCCTACACTGTTGGTGGAAATGTTAGATGGCACAGACACTTTGGGAAACAATCTGACAGTCCCTTGAATGATACACATGGAGTTATCCCCTGCCCCCTCCCTTTCCTTCCTACCCCACTTCCCTATCTAGAATTCATCTAATCCTTCCATGCTCTCCCTCCCTACCCCCCGGCCCTTTTTATTTTTCATTTTGAGACAAGTTCTCACTGAGTTGCTTAGTGCCTTGCTAAGTTGCTGAGGCTGGCCTCAACTTGCCATCTTCCTGTTGCCTGAGTCCCACTGAGGCCCTGTAATTCTACTCCCACACACTACTATTCATAATAGCCAAAAAGTAGAAACATCCCAAGTGTCCATCCACTGCTAAATGGCCAAACAAAATATGAGATACATACAATGGAAAACCAATTGGCCACAAATAAGAATAAGGCTCTGATAAATGCTACAACATGCATGAACCTGGAAAACATGCTAAGTGGAAGAATTCAGACACAGAAGGTCACATATGATAGCATTTCAGTATGCAAAATGTCTGGAAGAGCAAACCAGAAAGAGACAGGAAATAGATCAGTGGTGGCTTTGTGTTGGGGAAGACGAATGAGAGGTGATAACTGAAGATATAGGGCTTCTTTTTGAAAATATTCTAAAATTGTGGTGATTTTTATTTCCTAAAAATCATATATACAGTGGAAGACCACTTTAGGAAATTCCTGTGAATTTCCTAAAAATCATTGAATTGTACACTAAAATGGGGAGTTCTGCGTAAATAAGTAAGGCCGTTGTTGTTGCCGTTTTCGTCCTCTTGACTGGTGAAGACACACAGAAGATCCCCACATCTTACCTAGTGATGTGCCCAAGCAGCAGGGGGAGAAGGTAACAGGGAGAGTATCAAAGTGGAAGGAATAAGAGACTTTAACAATGGAGCACTGTGGTTTTAAAGGTTAAGAAGCGGAAATATCCTCTAAGACGGGAAGGACCCAGTTATAAGTGAGTTGAGTAGCATTGAAAATTCTTGAAGAACAGATTAAATTAAATATTTAAGTTTGTGAAAAGGCTGAAGTTTAAAATAATTATCTTCTTATATATGAAGATTAAAATAAGTAATTCCTAAAAAAGATTTTAAGGAACTAGTTCATGAAAAACTCAGAACCTGCCAGTGAGAATCATACTCAACAGTGGAACAACTGAGAAACATAATTTCCCCTTGTTGGGATTTTTAAGAATGAGATGAAAAACTGTTAGTTTTCCATTGCTTAGTAGAGTGCAGATGTGGATTAGATGAATGTTTAAGGTTCAACTCTTTTCCGTTGTCCTGCAAAAGATGAGAACAAAGTTCGCCATCCCGAAGGGTAGGAAAAGATTCTAAGTTGAGTGATTCATTCATTATTACAGCTAAATTCTACTCAGTCTAAAATATAACCTCTTACGCAAATCATTGCAAAATAAACCTGCCTTCTGAGGGCCCAAGCCTAAATGTCACCTGATTGCTCCAGAACCCCCATCATTCAAATTTTACAGATGGCAGGTGTGAACAAAAACAGAAAGCAAAAGCACAACCTACCTCTTCCTCACCCAGACCCCAGCCTTTCCTGCTGGGCAGACTTTAAACTATGCTCCTCTCACTCCTGGGAGACTGTGGGAGACTAACTGCTTCCCCTTCAGCATGACATTTGCTTTCATCCTGATTTTTTTTTTCTTTTAACCAGGGGTGCTCAATCACTGAGCCACATCCCAAGCCCTTTTTGTATTTTATTAGACACTGGTCTCACTGAGTTGCTTAGGTCCTTGCTAAGTTGCTAAGGCTGTCTTTTAACTTGCGATCCTTCTGTCTCAGCCTCCCGAGCCAGTGGGATTCAGGGCATGCACAACCATGTCCAGCCTGACATGTTACTTTTATTCAAAGGTTTTATGAATAACCAAAGAGCTCCAAATTAAATTTGGCTACTCAAATTTTTGAATAAAATTTTGAACAGAACCAATAGAAAACAATGGCTATTGATCCAATCAAAGCATAAAGTCAACAGAGAAACAATTAGTAATTCAACAGGAAATGCATTTTTAAAGTCCAATTTGACCCCGGTTTTGAAAGAGTGGTAATACCACCCACCACCTGCAGATGGCAGCCTAATCATGGACTGCTAGGAGTCTTTCAAAGACTGCAAAACCTCCTCTGCCCAGCTCTGACCATGAACTAAGTACTGCGTTTTCTAACTCCCTAATGAGGGCTGAAGTGATAGGAGACTTTGGTTATTAGCATTTCCATCCTTAAGTATGAGGGCAGAAACAGAGATCCTAACAGGGCTTTCTTTATCTTTTCCTTTCTCTAGTTTCTCCTTTATCCACCTCTTGCTTGAACTGAGGAAATTTTGATGAAGCAAAACACATGAATTTTTAAATAAAGAAACAGTGTTCTTTTATTAACTCACTTTCAGTCAATTTAATGGTTCCTCCTGGATTTCTGCATTTAATACAGGCAATAACCCACTGTACTACCTTGACTACATGCTCATGCAACACAGCTACTGAGGAGCCACTACAATGCAGGTCTGGTCCCAGGTGACTGAATATGGGCCCTACTTTAAGGGGAGTTAAATGATCTAGCAGAAAACAGAAGGGTTTCATTGGACTGAAAAGTAAAAACAGCAAATGCAAATGGTGTGACATAAAAGCTAGAGGACAGGTTCTGGAGCTGGGTGAGCCCTCGTTTAGGCATCGACCAGGACTGGGCGAACAACACAATTGTAACATCAGTCCCTGCACCTGCTAGGGCTGCTGTGGGGATTAAAGGGCCAATAAAGCCTTTGGAACAGAGCCCAGTGCCCCAATAATGCTTCCCAAATGGAGGAGAGCATAGAGCACTAGCTAAGATGGGCTCAAGCCAAACTGACAGTGAGAATCCATTCTGCCACATTCCAGGGTTGTGACCTTGGCGACACTCACCTAACCTTTCTTGCTTTGTTTCCTCATCTACAGAAAATGGGATAATAATGAACTTGGCCCTCAGTGGGGTGGTTGAAGGACTAAGTTGGTAACGTGTATTTAACACATGGAGAATAATGCCCAGCCTAAGGCAGACACCCAGGAAGCCCTAGCTATTGTCATTCCTGTATTAGTCACCAGGAGACCATACAGTGCAACCAAATCGTACAGTACAACCAAATTGTGCCAACTTTTGCATAAGCTGAGTGCTGAATGAAAAGCAAGTGTCACCAGTTAATTTCTTGCTAACCAAGCCTGGTCTAACCAGGGAGGTTCTCTGAGGACACGACCCCTAAGAATGGAAAGGAGTTAAATAAAAGGAAATGAAAACAGAAAATCAAGTACCCAATTTCAAAATAAAACAGCACAGATGCATAAAACAATTTTCTAAAAAGTGTGTGCAGCATCTGAACAATGTCTCAAAGAGGCTGGCTGAGGGACAGCAGAGAAGAGGCACTGGGGTCAAAAGGTAATGCCACAGGCACAGGAACTGACAGCAGGAGGAGGAAGTGACTCTGGGAAACAAAATGGAAAGACAACAGAACCCTGGGGTTTGCTGGTAAATGCTGCTCTCCACCGGAGGCTGCGGGAAGGAGCTCTGAGTCTGTCCACACTGGGCACTCACATCCCCTGGCTGAGGCCACAAGCCCTACTCACAGGCCAGCTGTAACGTGGCTCTCTAATCTTTTTAGGGTGGCCTGCTCCTTCCTGGTAAGGGGGCCTACCAATTTGGACTGAAGGTCTGGCCTCCTGCAGCTCAGAGACAACAAAGATCAGAAATGACACTGGGTATAAGTTCAGTCTTTTCATAGGACACTGGCCTGGGTGTCAGAAGACCCCAGCTTCTATCAGACTGAGACACTGATTGGCCATGTTAGCATTAAAAGGGATTTCACTTCTGGGAGCCTCAATCTCCTTATTTGATACTGGGGACTGCACCAGCTATGCTTATGGAAGAGTTACTGGAGGGTCAAATGAGCTAAACATTTAGTGTAACACTAGCCTAATGGA